CCCTTTCCAAATATGAACATTTCCACATATAAAATAAATAAAATATCCAAAAACTTTTACCTCTAAATCATCTATTACATTATACACGTCACTAACGAATTCATACCGCAAGCATTACAAATACTTAGTATCAAATATTTAAATTATTTCCATGCACGTTTACTTCAACTTAAACGTGTACCAAATTCCTACAAACATAAAATTCACAAAATAACTATCATTTAATTAAAATATCACTAAACCATGTACACGTCGACTTATTTTTACTTAAAAATACATCTCAGAATTGCACAAAAATGGCACTGCGCAGACTCTTCACTATATCCACGTACACTGCTTTTTTCTCATAAATTAGAAAAATTTCACGAAAATACATGACAATTTTCTCAATCTTTAAACCCGGTAAAAAGAACATATAAGAAATGACCTGATCGCGAAAAAGTATTTACCCTTTCCAAATATGAACATTTCCCACATATAAAATAAATAAAATATCCAAAAACTTTTACCTCTAAATCATCTATTACATTAAACACGTCACCAACGAATTCATACCGCAAGCATTACGAATACTTAGTATCAAATATTTAAATTATTTCCATGCACGTTTACTTCAACTTAAACGTATACCAAATTCCTACAAACATAAAAATTCACAAAATAACTATCATTTAATTAAAATATCACTAAACCATGTACACGCCGACTTATTTTTACTTAAAAAAACATCCCAGAATTGCACAAAAATGGCATTGCGCACACTCTTCACTATATCCATGTACACTGCTTTTTTCTCATAAATTAGAAAAATTTCACGAAAATACATGACAATTTTCTCAATCTTTAAACCCGGTAAAAAGAACATATATGAAATGACCTGATCGCGAAAAAGTATTTACCCTTTCCAAATATGAACATTTCCACATATAAAATAAATAAATTATCCAAAAACTTTTACCTCTAAATCATCTATTACATTATACACGTCACCAACGAATTCATACCGCAACCATTACAAATACTTAGTTTCAGATATTTAAATTATTTCCATGCACGTGTACTTCAACTAAAACTTATACCAAATTCCTACAAACATAAAATTCACAAAATAACTATCATTTAATTAAAATATAATTAAATTCAAAAACACTACTTAAAATATAAATGAGCACATACATTAAATTAATACATACATAAAAACCCATTTTGAATTCACTTTAGTTACGGCCATGGGATCCAAAAATTCACGAAACACTGTTTCACACAACACAGAATAAAGCCAAATACAAAATTTCCAGATTTTTTCCCGATTTGCCCCCTTTTCCGATTAAAGAACCGTAATTCGTCCATTAATATCACATGACATATCCTATGATCTCTCATTTTCCTCACACAAAATAATTCGTAATCGGAACTGAGTACTGCTCACATTATTACCAAAGTGCCAGGTAGTAAACTTTATCGCCTCCAAAATGTCGCCAAACTACCAATTACCATATTGTAAAGATCAACCAAATAATATCCTCAAATGATTAAAAATACTAACTTACCTAATCTTCTTCAGAATCTTCATTACGTCGCTGCAGTACTACTGCTAATTTCTAAATCCTAAATCCAGTAGTCAACTGGAAGTCTATTCACCAAGTAATAAGAAATTAATAAAATTTCACCTATACTCAAACTACTTTCAGCAAACCACGTACCCCTCCTTACACTCCTTTTCACAAAATGTCCATTTTCACCATATTTCTTGCACCGCCATTTAATCTTGTAATATCCTTCCTTTCACACAATCTCAACTTATTATTATTATCAGATAAACGCATGAAAAATTTAGAATTCACTTTACATGGCACTATGCAATCCGAAAATTAATCAACACTATTTCACACAACACACAATGAAGCTTTTCCAAATTAACCCCCTTTTCCGATTAAAGAACTATAATTCGTCCAATTAATGTCAAGTTTCACACAACACAGAATATAACTAAATACGAAATTTCCAGATTCCCCCTCCTTTTCCGATTAAACAACTGTAATTCGTCCATTAATGTCACATGACATATCTCATGATCTCTCATTTCCCTCACACAAAATAATGGGTAATCGGAACTGAGTGCTTCTCACATTATTATCAAAGTCCTAGGTAGTAACCTTTATCGCCTCCAAAATGTCGCCAAACTACCAGTTACCATATTCCAAAAATCAGCCAAAAAATCTTTATTCCTTCAGATGGAAATAGGATTTCGGATTCAATTCTCCATTCAGCTTTCACCACACAGTAATTCATCCACCAGAACCAAATATATTAAATTTTCACTCTTCTGCAAAAATAATATTATTTCAATATGATAAACTTTTGCTCATCATAGATTTTTGTGAATGCTCATTGCTGTTTTCTTGTTGATACACAATTTGATTCTTGCTGATCATCCATTGTAGCCATGAGCTCCAATGGCTCTTTTGACAGCCCTGCATTTAATTTTTATTGTAAACTGTTCTTCTAAATATGCTGAAAGTTAAGTTACAGTACTAATATTTGGGTTTCATTTGATTTTTCATATTTACATCACACATTTTTTGGATATTCTGAATACTTTGACAATTTTTAAAAGGATGAATAGTAAAATTCCTAACAAAACTTGTCGTTATTTTGTAGCATCTTGCTATGTTCACTTCAGACACGGAACCATTAATATATTTTGTTGAACCAATAATAATTTCTAAATGCAGATAATTCTTGAGATGTAATTTTATTTAACCCTTAAGTTATTTTCTGTTACATAAACACAGAAGAGGGGTCTCTCAGACCGTGCTCTATTTTATGCATTTTTAAAACATAAAATTTTTAAATAATGTACTATTGTTATTATATAAGCATTAATACACTTTGCTTGTTATATTGAAGTAATTAATTCTTTTTAAAACTCTAAAATTAATGCATTAAAAATTTTATTTTTAAATCACACACGAAAAAGCACAGAACACGTCTGGATTATATAAAATAATGCAAAAAGAGTATAACATATATAAAGAATATTAAAAAATTGCAGCACATTATTTTAAGCATTTTCAACACAATTTTTGCAAATTCTCTTGTCACATTCATTACCATATTGTGCACTATTCCATTTTAGGGACCATAAAAAGTTGCATCAAAAATATATGCGCAAAACTGCCAAATCTAGCAAACGCGCTCATTTAATCGCGCGCCAAATCTAGCGAATGTGCCAAACTGCATAAATTTAGATAGTTTTATATTTATAAGTCGCCATTGAAATACTAGTTTGATTTTTTAATTCTTTTCTAATAATGCTATGGATTTAACAATTTGGGAATTGCCTAATGATGAAAAATCTGCAATAGAATTTTTTCAAAGAACAGGCATCATTCATGACAGAAATTTATGTTCGAACAACCATGAAATGAAATTATGCTTTAGCGGTAACTCAGTAGCGAAATGGTGGTGCAGGAAAGAAACCTGTAATGAGAAGAAAGGATTAAGAAGTCAAAATTTGTTCGAAGGATCGAAAATCCCCTTTCTTACAACCGCTAGGTTCATCTATTTTGGGTGTCAAGAGGTGACATCTATTGAATTTTGTGAACTCTAGCTGAAGATGATCCACAATTAACTGTAGACTGGAACAGTTACATGCACGAGGTGTGTGCTGTAACTTTATTTACTTGGCCTAACTTGAAAATCAGCGGATCTAGCAAAATTATTAAGTAAACGAAAGCCTTTTCAGTAGAAGAAGGAATAACGATCGGTGAAAACTTTATTGAACGTCATGAAAGAAAATATTGCAGAAAAAAGCATTATTTATACTCACTGCTGGAAATCATACAAGTCAGATGAACTGCAAAATGCCGGTTTAGAATATTTTACTGTGAATCACAATTACAAGTTTGCGGACCCCGAAAGTGAGTGTCATAGACAAACTGTTGGGTAATCAAGACAATATTGTCTATTTTTAAATAAGAATTTTACTATTACTATTTTTATTATTATTGTTTATTTTTCAAAAGTGTGTTTTTGTTTTATTATTGTGTGAAGTTTGTAACTATATTTCTTTTCTTGTGTGGCAACAACGCTTCTGTAATTCTTCGATTTGTTCTTTTTGATGTGTGCCAAGTTAGATGGTGTAATGTTTTGAAGAGAGTGTTGGCTGATTGTGTAGATGAAACATATTGCTTTAGAATTTTATTTCTTAATATGTAAAATAAATGTAATATATAAAGTAAAGTACGGCTTGAAAGTACGGCATATGAGAAGAATAACCATATAACTTATAAGCAGTTTTGCAGTTCTAACAGACTGCGAACATACAGCAGTCTTACAAACCCCACCTCTGTCTTTAAGGTTTAAAACAATATTATGACAAAAAACATCGCCTGCCAAAACATCTCAACAAAACTGCTGAGTGTCCCGAATTATTATACGAGTCACAGATTAAAATTTTTTTAATAAATTATTTTAGTACAAAGAATATTTTGTTATGATACATATTTTGTAGCAAGTAGGGCTTAAAACAGAAAAAATAATATTTTAGATAAAAAAAAATTTGTTGTCTGTATTTCAGTATTCAAAGATTCATTCAATATTTATGATCTACGCAAATAATCATTTTTTTATCATAATATTTTGAATTTACTTTCATCTCTAAAAATTATCATCCGTAAGAATACTAGCCAATACTTTTGAATTTCCAATTTGACACAACCTCTTAAAGTCTGATCTCTATATTGACTTTTTTTTTTTTTTTTTTTTTTTTTTTAAATACTGACATCATGAAAAGAACGCGACCATGAGAATTCTAAGTAATTAATGTCCTTTGAATCATTCTAAAATATTAAGAAATAGATGGTATTAGGCTAGTAATTGTTTACTACAATTCCACTACCAGCCACTATACCACCACATGTAAATATTTCATTAATTCACCGAATGTTGTTATTCTGCACTTACAACACCATAAACATTTTAAATGTTATATTTACCGTCAGAGATTACTGATTTACTTTCGGGTTCAGAATCCTTGATAACAGAATCGGTGGGAATAACATCTTCCATCACTATTAAATCTTTTAAATCTATCCTCTAAACTTGTGTAATTAAATTTCAAATCTTCGCACCTTAAAAAATTATTCACACACTTTTGTTCCTGAAAACAATTAAATCTTAGTGCACTCTATAATACAGACTTTTTGCCCTCTGGAGATCAAAGAAGGATTCAGACCAACGAAGGGGAAGATTATAGATTTTTTGCTGGAGATCATTTTGTAAAAATATTTTTAGCCCAAAGCCCTCTATGAATGTATGTATGTAAAAACACGACAGTGCCTAGAGCCCTCCAGTTTTAAATAATGTAACCTTCCACCCGAACACGGGCTCCTGGAAGCCGGAATTTTGAATTTGTTTTATTATCTAATTCATATTCTGTCAAACTTTAACAATTTTTGGGGCTCTAGTGTGTCCCTTCGATTGGCGACAGATTTTGTTCAATTTTGGCGATGAGTAACTTTGTTTTAACCTTATATGTCGTCATCATTCTCCTGATATTGTTTTTTAAGTGAAAATAGATCGATGTGTATATGGACAATGTCAAGGCAGTGCGCAATGCCGAATTCGTGCAATCTCTAATGTTTTTTTAAATGAAAACAGATCGATGTATACATGGCCACCGAGTTTGAGCAATCTTCTTGTGGAACTGACGCCTTATCCCAAATCGAAAATATTTGTTTCGAAATATTTTACAAAGTTAACTTATTTGAGATGTAGTAATTTTTTTTTAATTTAAATTTTGAAGAGATTCAAGTACTCTAAATTCAAGCCTGGAAGCTGCCTAACTGAATCTATGTTATCAAGCTAATTTTGAATCTATAGGTATCATGTGGTGACCAAATACATACAATACACATAAGATATAAATATAAATAAACTCTTGCTTGCGTACTGGTTCGTAATAGATTGAATGCACAATTCTGATGGAAAGGTAATAAAATTTATTCTTATCACTAGAAATAAAACAAAATGCTAAAATTTTTCATCACAGATATTCGTTCAGTATCACAATACCACACGGTATTTATATTTTAAACTACTAAAACATTAAATAGAACACAATTCAGCGCAGAGAAAGCTAATCCGATCTCCCCGCGAATTCGCTACAATCAACAGCAAAAACTTAGTAAACAACTGAACTGAGATGTTTCTGTCCGGCTTTTACAAGTTTTTAATCATGCATGAGAACATTCTGGTAAAATTTCAAGGCTTCTGGAAAGCAAAAGAGTACAATTAAGAAATATATATTTATTAAATATGCGTGCTCCTATATTTTTTACTTTTTCGGCGTATCTTTCTCTTAAAATTCGTCACGCGCTGCATTGCACGGGAAACTAAATTTTAATTACAATTCTACTAAAACTGCATTGCATGGGAAACTAAAACAATTTTAATTACAATTCTACTAAAACTAGCTATTAAATAGCTACTAAATACAAATTCCGTAACACTGCCCCTTCCTAAGGACTGCACGTCCCCGGAAGTACTGTCCCTGGACAGGAAGCCAAACTTACAACTAAGGCATAAATGCAATAATAAACACTGCATTACACTAACAACATAAACAATAATAGCAATGAGTAACTAAAACAAATCAAATACTAAATACAAATCCAATACAAATTTCGAAACCAAAAGGACCATGGTCTTATTCTATTTACAATTATATACACTACGAACCATGGCCATAGTAAAGAGCTAACCTGTCGTAATGAATGACTTTAGGTTTAGAGTTCGATGACTTACGGATCCGAACCACAGCGTCATTCATCCTGTTTAGAACTGTGTAAGGTCCATCCGAAGGTGACGGTAGTTTAGGACAGAGTCCTTTCCATCAGGTCGGGTTCCACAATCAATCGTTGTCTCCTTCGTTGAATCGATGTCCAATAGCTCTTGTGTCGTATCGAGTCTTCCCCTTCTCCGTCGCCAGGTTGACTCGCTCCCGTGCAAAGTTGGGCATCACTTCAAACCGGGCCTGGAGGTCTTCAATGTATTCTCCAGGCCAAAAAGGCGCATCCGGAGGGCGACCAAACAGAAGATCACAAGGCAGACGAAAGTCATGACTGATCAGCTTCCGAGATGGAGAATAACCGGTAGTCTCGTGGTCAGCACTGCAGAAAGCCAGTAAAAACAGTGATAACTTTTTCCCAGTCTTGTTGGTTTCGGGAAACCATCAATCAGAAGCTGTTAAGAATCATTCGATTAAACCTCTCTACCTTGCCATCCGACTGCGGATGTAAAGGCGTCGTTTGGGTTTTGTCACTGCTCAGTAGCTTGCAGTGTTCTTTGATTACAGCCGAGGTAAAATTTCTTTCCTGATCGGAATCTAACTGAAGAAGCACTCCGAACCTGGAAATCCAGTGCTGTATCATTACCTTTGCTACTGTGACAGCCTCTTGATTGGGTTGGTTGGTTGGTTTATTAGATTACGGCAAAGCACTCGAGGGCTATCTGCCTTAACCCTTTGAAGGGCACCGGTATATAATATATACCGGTTGTTGTCAATTTTTAACCTCCGAAAAATGCTAATTTTTCCTACAACACCAAAAGTTATAATCGTAGTGTCTAGTATTTTCTTTCGATTCTAATGGCAACATCACCCTATGAATGCTCAGTATTTTACAGTTTGAAATTAATATACGTCGTTCCAAGGTATCATGTTGGAAGATTGATAAATTCTATTGGAGGGAAAGAAAAAATTCAAAATCTGCAAATATATGACGTACACAGCTGAATCTTATATATTTACTTCATTTCGTCAGAGTGATAATTAACAGCAGATTATTTATACGATTTTTAAAACCGGTATATAATATATACCGGCGCCCACACTGAGGGTACACGCCAATATGGCAGAACCAGTTCTCCTTTTCTACTCTGTGACGTGACAGAATTTTTATTATTATAAGTTTTGATGTAATAATATTTCATGATTAACTTATAGTCGTTAGGATTAAATTTATGTTCATGGGGATGGGGAGGTTTTCGACCCTGCGCTAGGACTGAATACAAGTAGATTAGTTTTATTATTCTTGTGTACTCAGCTCAAGTTTCATTCGTCTGTTTTAGCTAAATTTTTATTTCAGCACTTATCTCTTCCCAAGAGAAAGACTTATCGATTTCAAAATTGCCGTCTGGGTCAAACTTCAACAATTGGGGGTTAAACGTGGCATGCTAGCCCCCAAAAGACACCTGTTGCTTCCTGTTTTCCAAAATCCTAGATGTAAGAAAATGAAAAGAGGTGATTGACAACCAATTTGTCTTTCGGGAGCCAGGCTTCTTCCCTTGTGCGTGTGATAAGACACACAAAGGGAAGCTCACTTAAAATGGAATGTACTTAAGATCCTCTCATAGTGTAATCACAAAAACTGCTGATTTGAAAGCATGCTTTTATCTTTAGGGAAATTCTTTTTAATTCTTTGTTAATTTCAGATGAAAGACTAGAGAACACAAGAGAATTTGCGCTCTGTTGATACAATAGGTTGTTTCGGAAAAATTTCACAGTTGGTGAAAGAGGAAAAAAATTTCTAAGCCCCGTTTTAGATGCAAACTAAAATTATCCAAAAGTTGAAAAGGATCCCTATGAAGCCAAAGGGGTTGAAAATCAGAATAAGAGCTTTGAGGTGTATCAAATAATAAAATGTTTAACGGGTTTTGTTCCTGAACAAAAGATATATTACAACCTATATTTACAAAAAAAAAAAGGACCCTTACGGTCCTCCGTGATCTAAAGTGGTGGCGTGGGGGGGGGGCAGTTCTTCGTATCATAGTATGAAGCATGGTTTTTTCCACATATTATCTAAAGCATAAATACAACTTCAAAATGCAATACTTTCTTAGCGAGTCGGTCGTAGTGCTTCATTTTTCAATTTTTTAATTTCCGGCTAAGTTACATCTGCTTGTAATTATACTAGTTCAGTTACAGCATGATACGATTTACACATGCAGTTTATATTTGCTAATTTTTGTTATAAAAATAATATTGAATTTAAATCAGTTGAAGAGCTTTTACCATAAGTATGTTCAGCTGGGTTGCATCATCAAGTGCATAAAAAATAAATTTATTTTTAAATTTTAAATTTCTGCCGAATTTAGAAATTTTGTCTTTAGACTACATAACTATATTCAAGCACTCATTATACAGACACATCAAAAGTACCCAAAATTATTTAAAAACAAAGATTAACGTTGGCAACTACCTGGAAAAAATGTCCTAGAGGGGCGCCGGTAAAAATATATACCGGCTCTCAAAATTCAGGATTTCGCTCTAGAATTTTTTTGTCAATTTTGTGTCCTTAGGGTTCATAAGTTATAGTTCATGCAAAATTTTACCACAGTTTAAATTATATTACATACCGCCCCTCAAAGGGTTAAGAGAGGGATGCCTTCGTGGAGGACCTTTTAAGGGAAACTGGCTCGTATACACGTTACACATGGGGAAAACCACGAAAACACCCACGCAGCCAGCCCGTTCGCGGGATTCGAACCTCGGACCGAACTACCAGTGTTCAGCGACGTTACCGCTCGGCCGCTGGTGGGCTCTCTTGATTGGGAATAGGATATGTTTCAGACCACCTGGTGAAGTAATCTATGACAACGAGAATGTATTTGTTGCCATCAGCAGCTCGTGGCATAGGTCCCAAGATGTCAAATGCGATACTCTCAAAAGGTGCTCCTACATTGTAATGCTGCATCTTTCCTCGGCTGCGTTTCTTCGGTCCTTTCTGACCTGCACAGGTCTTAAAGGACCTGCGCAAGGACGTGAAGTGTTTGAAGGAAGTGAAATGAATTTATGCGAGTAAGATTTTCGTTACCGAAAGTTCCAGAAGTGATCACCCTGGTGGTATAAGTCCAATGCTAGTAATTTTCCACGAAAAGGCAGACTTTTTGGAATGATGTAACCAAATATGGGAGGCAAAAATTTAAACTTCTATAGATTATGTTTGTTCTGAGTTAACCCTGGATTTTTCCTTTACTTTTGGTTGACAGCTAAAATTATATCAGCAAGAGAACATGCTCAGAAAGTATTCATTTCTGAAAGTCCTTCGTTAAAATATTCTCCGTACTTTTTTACTCTTTGTAATCAACCCCTAGAGCCTTTACGGGCTTTAGAGGGATCTTCTGCCCCAAAAGCTTCACATGTACTTTTGTATCATGAAAACAAAT